CCGTATGTATGAACGCAAGGATCCTAGAACCTATAAGAGCTAGAGACTTGAAATTTTAGATGTAGATGCTCCTAGTTCCCGCGCAGAGTTTGTTTCCGATAATCGATATAGTTTATGCTTCGCTTGTATATTGCAAAAACATTTGACTGTTGCTTTCGTATCCTAAAGATTATTGTGTGTCTTACAGATTCTTTTGAGTCGTAATCTTTTGGATATATTTTTATCGTTTAAATTCTTGTGAGCTTAAATATAATATACATGCTTTGTCATATTATATTTATGATATCCTTCAGCATTTGGTTGCCCCGACAAAGAAGCGCCCAAGCCGCAACTCGCTTTAGTTCCCTCCTGGTCTCAACAATGGACATGAATGCTCTGCAAAAACAAAGCGTTACCAAACTGGGCAGAGCCAAAGCAAAACAATACAAGTGGCAGCATAGGAAACCCGAAGATACAATCATAATTTTCGTACTGCAATAAAAATGCGTAACAAAATAAAAACGGCCATAAAACGCTGCCTGCCAATTTCAGGCTCAGTGAAAAGACAGGACTGCAATTGCTGGCACATAATTTGGCATTGCTGGCGCTATAAATTATATAGAATCTGAACAGCAATTTGGGCAGCAGGCAGACGAAGTCCAAGGCGCATTTAAAGGCATTTTGGCAATGGCAATAGAAATGGAAATGAATTCGTGTCATTGCAGCTACGTGATCTGAAGTGTTACGCTGCTTGGCCTTAAAGGTGGCTCGGCCAGAATGGTTGCCTAGTTGCAGTCGTGCAGTTGAAGTATCTGCAGCTGCAGAGTCAACTGAAGCGGAAAAGTCAATGAGCTGCACTTCAAAAATATCGAAAAACTACTTAGACCAATTGCAGTTGCTCCTTGTGATTTCTCAAGTCCTTTCACTGACAGCTAATCGAGGAGCTGGCGAAAGAAGAAGATGTGACTAAATTGTTTTCAGCAACAGTTACAAAATTAAAAGCTTCAAACTTCTCAACATGGTCGTGTATTTGTTTACTCATTCAGCTATGAACGGAACATGCGCTCAAGATGTGTATGTTTATGAGTCCAGCTTGGCAAATGCTTGAAACTTGCTATGTAATATGGAGGGGCTATTTAATTTGGTTAAGGTAAATACCTACTTTTCGAACTGTGCCAATACCCAAAATGACAACGAAAAAGGTTAACGCACAATTTACATATTATCGAGATGTTTTTTTACATGTATCCCTTTCTTTGTATCCATTTTTTGTCTGTCTGCGCGTGAGTCTCATTATTGTTGCCACTTTTATGGGCATCTATAGATTTTCAGCTAAGCAAAAAGGCCAGCCCAAAAGCTGTGCCATTGCCTCAGTCGGCTATCTTTTGCTGATTTCATCAGTAAACGGCAGTAAAACGCATTTCGTTACCTTGATTTTTTATTGCGTCCCCCCGCCCACTTTGAAGTGAATGTGTTCTGGGCAGTTCGTGTGCATTAGATGGCGAAATACTCGTCTGGCGAATCTTTGGCCTGGCTTATCTGCCGCAAAGCCGAGGCCGAAATGGTTCATTTGATTTGGTTTGGTTTTCAACTCAATTCGATGGCTGAGTGGCTGCTGTCCATTTGTTGCCTACGCAATGGAAACTCTACCGATATTTGATTTTTTATGACTTGGCCACTTTTCTTTATTTGGCTTTGACTTCTGCCTTAACCTTTTCTTTGCGCTTTACTTTCACAGCGATTCCCTTTCGCTTAAAATAACAATTTCAAATGGATTTTATTACCTTGGGGCTAGATTTGTGCCCTTGTATATGTCGCCCGCTTGGCTCGACTTTTATCGTTTTGCATAAGCGCCTTTCAACAATATCCTTCGCCTCGGACACACACATGTGCCTTAAAAATCTAGCCCTTAAAGCCTCAGCACTCGAATGCATTACACACACACACTTCTCACACAGCAGCCAAAAATATAATCAAAGCGACAGGGCTCCAAACTTTTCCCAACAGACAATAATTGAAAACGCCGTGCGGTCGGTGCGTTTGTTAGCCAACTTTCCGCTGCCATAAAATTTATGTTAATTGAAATTTATGTGCAGCCAGCTCTCTCGACTGCAACAGGACCAAAGCAAACAACCAACAAAAAAAAAAACCAACAGAAAAACAAACTTTGTGCCAAACGCAACAAAGCTCATTCGACTAACGCATGTGCTACTACGTGTCGGATCCTATTTTTCTTAAATAAATTTTAATCGAAATAATATATCTCGCTGTCTCTATCTGCCCCTTTAAAGAATTGCATTGATAATAATTATTTGTTTGAGAAAAAAATGCACAAATGAATAAGTACTTAGTCAGCTTAGTCCTTTTTACTTTTAGAGAAAACTTAAATTAAGTCGCAATTCTTACTTTTAGATAAAATTCGTGTAAATGGAGCTTAGGATAAATGTATTGCAAAAAAAAGTAGAAGGGAAAAATGCTCGACTAGGAGATACCCTGAATTATCTTGAAATAGCAGCACGTACACAGAGCATAACGTACGATATAATCGTAATTCTACATGTGTGTATGCATGTGAGCACATGCTTACAGAAATTTGTGAAATTTACTCTAGCTGCTGCTGACAGTATTTCGATATCGATATCGGAGCAAGTTATCGTACCAAATATCAAGTCTCCAGCTCTTATAGGTACTGAAATTGACATGTTCATGCATGCAGACAAACGGACAGATCGTTTCGGCTGGGGTCGTAGATGCTTCAGTTTATACAAATGAATAAGCATGTGGAAGGCAGCTTTCATCAATATCGTAGAATATGATTCGGAGTAGTTCAAGTACATTTCTATATATAAAGAACGCAGACGGGCTTTACACATGCAACACATGTAATTCTATGCATGCTACACATTGGTGCGAAATTGTCTCTTTATACGCCACAACAGCTGCTGATAGAAAACTGCCCAACTATTTTATGTGGAAAAATTGGAAAAAATATCAAAACATTTTTTATTGCAATGAAAATTTCGCAAGTTGCTGCCATAAAGCGTTTTCCGCTGCAGCCGTCAATTGAAGTTCGGAAATGGTTTTCCGCACATTATTGACACATGCGGCGCATTATGCAAAAATTGATGGCGGAAGCATTTAGGCAATGAAAATTTATGGGGGCGGCACTTAAAACTGCAGTTAAACGGACGGACATCGCTTAAATTAGTTCATTTTATGCCGCCCCTTCCTCGACCAATGCAGCGCTTTAATTTTAAGCACTTGGTAATCGTCTGTGGGTAATGCATATTTTTTACAGGCGCCCCAGATAATTGCGAGCAATATATATACATTTGAGTCCTGCACGTGTCTGTATGTGTGTATGCCTTTTACCTGTTTAACATAATTACCTGTTTATAATTAATTAAAATGCAATAAGCGTATATTTGATAAGAACGGGGCACGCACATGCCGCTTACTTTGCAGTCTTAATTTCGATTTTATTTTAGCGTGTTTTTGTCGCGTGTCAGCGATATTTGCGCGGGCGCTGTATGGCCTCTTTATAGCCGCCAAATTAAATGAAATTGATAAACTAAATTACAATCGAACAGATAAAGCGTAATATTGCGCTCCACAAATTATTCAGTGCGCAGCTGAAAAGTAGGCAACAGTTTTTTCCATTTACATTTGTTGTTCAATTTTCAGCATTTTCAGGCACAATTTTCAGCGTGAATGGCAAAAACTAATTTGGGCCCCAAGCCAATGAGCTCAGCTGAACATAATAGAGAGTCAGCTGAGAGTGTGACAAGGGGAGGGGGAAGGGGGCATGGATACACAGGCGGCAAACGTGCAAAATTGCAACATAAACACATTGCCACACCAACAGCAGGAAGTTTTGTTGTTGTTGTTGTTGTTGTTGTTGTTGTTGCAGCTGTTGTTATTTTATTTGCATTGCAATTTTGCTTTTATGACTACATTGCATGCATCACCCACGCTTATTGACCATGAATAACCAGCGGAAATGCAATACGCGCTCTGGTCGCGTTTCCTGCCTCCATCATTCAACCCGCCTCTTCGATGAATCATGGTGTTGGTTTTGTGTATGTGTCTGACCGTGTGTGCTTTGGTTTCACTTTAATTGCGGCTACGTTTTAATATATGATTAAACGAAAATTGAAAAAGCGCGCTGCACCTGGGCAAATATGTCATTGCAATTTTGATGGCTTTCATATGAGCTTTTCCCTACCGCTTCGTAAAAAGAAAAGTTGTGAGCGGCAAATAGAATGGGAAAGATTGTTTTAGGCCTGCCGGACCTGCATGTTGTAACTAATGTTACATATTTGCGAGGAAGCTAGTCGAAGACATATTCTTTTGGTAGGAAAATGTTTCTTCAGCCACGACTATCGATAGCAAGGATTGCATAGAAAAACACCTGAATGGATTTCATCGACGACTAAGCTGTAGTTGCATTCGATTTAAAATAAAAAATGATAATGCCCATAATTATCCTGCTTCTTGATAAACAACATACGCATATATATAAACATGATCTGACAACATTTGTATGCGCACGAGCATTGGAAATGTCATAAAATGTTATTTGACAATTCTTTATAGATTTGGGGTATTGTTTTCTATGCAAATTATAATTTTTTCGATCATACAGTATCAGCTTTTGGAATTGTTTTTAACAAAGTCCTCGGCAAAGATACGTGAGTAATTCTTAATATATTCATTAATTATATTACATGTATTAATATATTGATATTAGACTAATAAATTAAATAATGAACTCTTAATATAAAATCAAAGGACTCACGTGTTATTTATTTTACCTTCTTTGCTTCGAGCAGCAATTTAACTCATTAAATTTCTGTAATGATATTTAATGAAATAAGGATAAAAATGCTTAAGGCAAGAAGAATGTTTGTATAGTAAGTGGAAAGACGCTTGCTCTAACAGGCAATTCGAATGGTAAGAAAATGCATTGATTTAATTGAAAGAATTTGTTTAGTTGTTTTGTTTTATTCGTTTCTCACATTACAAACTAATTTTAAACATGCGGTCGCTTTTAAAAACTGATTTAACAAAATATTTCGGACATAACAAAGTTTATGAGCCCAAAAGAAAACACGTTGAGGAAGTGATTTTTTTTTTAGTTTTTTCGATTTTACATTTTCCATAGCGTTGCCTTGTCTGTTTTCTGTTTTCTGTTTTCTTTGTTGGCTGCTCTTAATTTTTATTTTGTGAATTTGTTTAATTTACAACACGCACAAGTTTTGCTTAGAATTAATGGAGAATATTTGAAGAGCCGCTCGTCTAGTTCAATGAGTAGTTCTTACAGTTCTTAGAGTCTAGGGGAATGTATCCGTTTACATGTTGCATATGTACAAGAACATTTTATTTGGCTAGTTTTATCATTTTATCGTTTTATCATTAACAAATATCAAATATCAATCAAAATGCCAAGCTGCATTGCCCGCCCGGGCTATTTGGACGGCTATTGCAAAAATATGATAAACCTGGCCCAAAACTGGCCAATGGAGTGTGGCTTCGCGTGCAGCTGTTCCACTTGGCCTCAATCGAACGCCTTTGTATGCAAATTAGCTGCTTCGAACCCAGCAACAGCAAAAACAAACAGGCTGCCGTGCAGCTGTCAAGTTGCCAGCCAGGGCCTGGAACACGAGGGGAGTCCATCGAGTTGTTGTGGCCACTGACTTAAGCCCTATGAGTCATATGGCCTGCACCAATTGTGACTTGTTTGTTTCTTTGTCTTGACTTGCATGCATTTTGCGGTTTGTTGCACACCTTTCGTGTTGCCTCTTTGGGGGCAATTTCCATTTTTGGGCTGTTTCTCTTTATGGTACAAATTGTTTCGCAGCCAGGCTTGAAGTGGGTGCGACATGTGCTGCCTTTGTGACTCAAGCTCTTTAAATTAGCATAAAACAGCGATTATTATCTCTGCACAGAGTTTAAACCAAGATCAAAGAAATGCTTTATGCTCTTTGAACATAACAATCAGTAGGAGTCTCAATTGCAGTGGTAAGGTATATGTGAATCGCAAACAAATGAAAGAGCTAAAAATCTGTCAAAAATGTCGGCTCTCTGTAGTCCAACTACAAGTGTGATTAATTATCCGGAAGGTACATAAATGTCTAAAATGGATTTTAAACTAAACATAAGTTTTTGGAATTTAAATTTACTCTATGGATAAATTGCAATTTATGCTTATTTACAGAAACACTAAAAACAATAAAAATAAATAAAAATAGGTTAAATAGGCCTCACTCAGGACAGCTTTAAAGTTATTTCACAAAGGTGTTATATTTGCAGCTAATTTTGGATTTGTCATCTTCTTGCGATGATTTCCATACAAGTTTCTTAACAGTTTATTTTCCTTTTATTTGCTATTTACAGCTAGACTTTGTTTTTTTTGTTCTTCCATTGCGGTTTTTCCAGTCGAACAGCGGATTCTTTCAATGGGATTCTCTAAAGGGGCTGGCCTTACAGTTCTTACATCGAAACTTATTCATGTAGTTGACTATGCATTAGGTGCTTGCTTAATCTATTAGGTATAATATATATATATTTAAAGATTTTGAATATGCAATTCGAAGTGAGGTGCATTTTATACAATTGAAATGTGGAAATTTGATATGCAGTTTAATATCAACTGATGGGCTTAGTCATAACTACCAGGAAGCGGAAATTATATGATTGGGTATAGGACAAAAGTCGATTCGTTTGAGAAATCATAGAAATTTACCAAGTGCACAATCACTCGATTAGAATATTAAAAAAATATATTTTACAGAGCTTTTGATGATTTTCCCCAATTCAACATCAACTGATGGACTAATCTTTACACTAAATGAAAATTATATTTTCATTATAATTTTTCTTTAAATTTCATTTAGTTTAACATTTGTTTTTTTTTCTATTTTTTTTTTGGTATCTTGCTTGCTCAAAGTTTACGCTTAATATTTACAAAATTTTAAGTTTTACTTAAATGCTTAGGTTGAGTAGTTTTTCTCATGTAAATAGTATTTAATTGATACGTACGAATTTTTAGTATTTTTTTGTATTTTTTTTTTTTAAATTTTTATTTTGCATAATTTTGAAAGAGTTTGCGTTTGGTTTTATGTAGTTATCCATACACATCGATTGAATGAAATTCTTGTATTTAATATTAGCGCAATGTACTCGTTAGTGTATGTAGATTTTTCTATGAAATTTGGCATAGGATATGTTTTGCTTTTACACTTAAATTTCTCAGATATGATATCATCTGGCGATAGAACCCAACGTTGGGCAAGGTTTGCTTCTGATCTGCTTAAGCGGGGCCAGCGTTCCAAATATTCACTCAAGCCAGTTAACTGCCAGCGCCTTCGGGCGGCCAACTCCAGGATCCGACGGCGCCGAAGAGCAGCAGCAGGGCTGGCAAAAGCGAGATGAGATGCGATGGCTGCCTCGAGGCAGCAGCACCTGTAAAGCAAACACAGTGATGAGTCATTCGATTTCCTGAATAATCCACATTCCCCAAAGAGTTTTACCAATCGTGCTCGATTTGGCGGCCACAGTTTCACGCGACTCCAGGGCGGGCGCCCGCTGCTGACGATCGCTCTCCACGCTCTCCTCGTTGCTCTGCCAGTAGAGGGAGCTGATCTTGGCCACGCACTGAAAGTATAAGCCAATGCCAATTAGCCGTGCAATATGGTTGCAATCGACTAGACTCACCTTGAGCTTCATATCGCCATTTTTGAAGTGATATCCACGCACACGAAACTCCAAGCCCAGTCGAGCCATCTCCAGGCTATCGCGGCCCATCACGATTTTGTCATACTGCTTGAGATGCTGTTTCTGTGCCGGCTCCCCGTTGATCAGCCAGCTCAGGTGACAGACGGGCTTCGACGGTGCCGATGTGCAATTGACACGCACAGTATCCCCGATCTGATAGCGCGGCTGCCCGCCGGATATTTTCGGCCCATGATTCGGTGTCACTGTAAAGCAAGGAAAATAATTTGCTTAACTTTATTCACAACTGGTCAGGTAATGGAAATGTTTGCAATGTAATTGAATTAAGCGCAGAGAAAGAGTCGCAGATACTCGCGCATAATTAAGGCAGCTCGTGAGTGGCCCCTTACATCGAAGAGCAATCAGCAAGGACATCAAAAAGCCTTTAACTGTAATTACACACATTCGCAAGAATGTTGTGTGCTCCTTTTGTCAATGTACTGTGGGACAAGGCATATGACATAGGGAACAGAGTGAAAAATCAACTCTGTTTCATTTTTAAAGTCAATGCAACTGTTGCCGGTAAAACATTTAAGGAAAGCGCACAAAGAGGAATGCAAATATATATATATATATATTTATATTCAAACAACATATTCTTTTAATGGGATACACTAAAAGGGATGGCTTTACAGCCTTTAAATAAGTACTGTTTCACTTTTAAAGTCAATACAATTGGGAGAGTACTGCTGCTGGTAAAACGTTTAAGGATAGCGTGCAAAGAGGAATGCAAATATTTAATTTTCACATGAGTGAAATTCCTGAGTCAGCACAGTGTGTTGCGCGAGAGAATAACTCAAAAGTAATTAACGTGCCAAGGGCAGATAATGGCTTCCACTTCGACAACGGGGCGTGGCACTGACCTATTTTGTACTTGTCAATTAAAAAATAATAAGGCGGTATGTGGGACATGCGTAAGGAAAGCTCAATAATTGGTTTATTTTATATTTTCTAGCATTATGTGACCCATTTGTTAGATTCTTTCAAGAGTCTCTATGGCTAGGGAGAGAGAGAGAGAGAGAGAGAGAGAGAGAGAGAGAGAGAGAGAGAGAGAGAGAGAGAGAGAGAGAGAGAGAGAGAGAGAGAGCGCATTTATTTAATTTTAATGAGACAAGGAAATTGAATATTTTGTTGCCCTGCACTAGGTGGCCAGCCTGTGAGCAGGATGCCGAGTCCTTTACCAGATGCCAGTTGCTGAATTTTGTTTTGCGCCTTTTGCTTTATTACTTTACATGCAGCTTTGCCTATTTGCCCGTCGCGTGGCTATAATGAAAGCCATGTGGATGCTGGTTTGGGTATCTGGTGCAGCTTGGAGCTTGGAGCTACGGACTGGCACTGGGACTAGGACTGGGGCATACTTAAGATTTATGTTGAGATTTGTGCCAGTAAAACACAAAACACGGCACACAGACCTACAGAGCGGAGCCCATTTTATACGCATACGAAATGCTTATTCAAAGTTTATTTTAGCGTGTATGTGGGCGTGGGTGTGTGTGTGTGGGAGGCGTGGGGGCGTGTGTTGTGTTGTTGTTAAGGCATCTGGCTACGAGTATGACTATGGATATGGCTATGGCTATGGCAGGGACTAACGCCCACAACCACTTGGCCACACGCTCGCTCGCTCATTGCTTAGCGCTTTTGGGCATATACGAAAAAAAAAGAAGAGGAGAAGGAAAATCCACAAAAATGGAAAGAAAGGAATCAAGTCAAGTGTGGCGCCCCCCGGCGTCCAGTTAACGCCCACTGTGAGCCGGCCGAGACGCAGTCGAGTGTTTGTATGCATTATAAATATACCATGGCAAAACCAAGGAGACTTCGTCCTCCCTCGCAGCCACACACACTCGCACACACATTATTCTGCAATAAAAACTGGCGTAGAATTTCTTGTTTCATTTTAGCCAGGCTCACAAATTTCATAACATTTGCAGCTGCCCCTTTCATATGTGTGTGTGTGTGTGTATGTGTGGCTGCTCTTCCATAAAATAAAATTAATTTTTAATGGTTTTCAAAAAATATTAATTTTCCTTAGAAGCTGTCGGAGTTTTTGTTGTGGCTTCGTTCGCTCAGCCACTGGCCGCATGACAGGCACAGAAACCGAATCCGAACCAGAAGCAGGCCCAAACTCAGGTTTGTTTCCAGTCCCGATTCCAGACCTGGATAGTACACATCCGTATGTTCGGCCAGCTCAAGTTGTGGGTCAAAGCGGGGCCCGGGCTCGTTGCTTATTTGTAATTTATAAAGTGAAGTTTACTTTGCTTTGGTTGCTCTTTTTTTTTTTATTTTTAGCCAGAATTTCAATTTAGTGCAGCTGCCTCTTGTGTGGGCGGCAACTCTGCCATATGGATAATATGAAGCTTTATAAAATATGACCAGACATATATGAAAATGGCACCGAGCACTGCAGCAGGGTTTGAGCGGGGGCTTGACTGCATAAATGCGTACATATTAAATGGATGGCAATTGCATTTGGCTTGTAAATTGCATTTCTGTTTGACTTCAGTTCCATAAAAATTGCATTTAAAAAAAGAATGTGCAAATTAAATTGAAAGAAAATTGGTTTGAATGGACACAGATATATACGAACAAAACTACAATCGATATGCCAATAATAGCATAAGAAATATTATTTCTATGGCCAAGGCTGGCAAAATGGGCAAATATGAGTTCGCAAAACCCGGATTTTATGAATAGACAGATTTTTGAGCAATTATGAATATCCCTTTTAGCAAAAAGCAATTATCTAATGTAACTATTGAAACGGCAATTTCAGCATATGGCCCATTTCTTCACAGTCAAGCTAAGCTTTGTATTAAAAGGATGTCTGAAAGATTAAATTGCTTAATAAAATACATGAACAATTTATGAGTAGAGAATATATATTTTCCACGTGGCAGAGAACTCTCTCTTTGTTTATATTTTTACAAATTTATTTAAAATCATACGCATAAACATTAAATAAAGATTAATTTAGATGTATTTAAATTAAACTATGCCCAGTAAACAATATATGTATCAAACGGTTCGAACAATGCGATTAAAAAGACTTTTACGCCAGAAGCTGGGCTTGAATTTTAGCAGAGATCCTTAAAAATGAGTTTGAGGCCGATCGATTATAAAAAAGTAAGTTTCATGCATGTAATCATCTATGCATGTACGCATGTAAGCATGTATGCATGTGTGCATGTATGAAATACCCCTGAAATAAGTGAATTTGAGCAAAGATCTTTAAAAATGAGTTTAAGGCCGATCGATGATAAAAATGAAATTTTTTGCATGCATGTATGCATGTATGCATGTAAGCATGTATGCATGTAAGCATGCATGCATGTGTGCATGCATGAAATACCCCCCAAATGAATTTGAGCAAAGATCTTTAAAAATGAGTTTGAGGCCGATCGATGATAAAAAAGAAATTTTTTGCATGCATGTAAGCATGTATGCATGTATGCATGTAAGCATGTATGCAAGCATGCATGTGTGCATGTATGAAATACCCCTCAAATGAATTTTTCGCAAAGATCTTTAAAAATGAGTTTGAGGCCGATCAATGATAAGAAATTAAGTTTCATGCATGTAATCATGTATGCATGTAAGCATATGTGCATGTACGCATGTGAGCATGTATGCATGAGTGCATGCATGAAATAGCCCTCAAGTGAATTTGAGCAAAAGTCTTTAAAAATGAGTTTGAGGCCGATCGATGTTAAAAAAGAAAGTTTCATACAAACGTTTTTAATTATTTTTCGGTTGGAATTTCCCGAAGTCCCGTCTTAACGTGCAGTTTCATCACACAAGGTGAAATTTGCAGCTCCCTAGCTCTTAAGGTTTGGGTTGTGTGTTGATCACCAATCTGTCGGTAGTGACTGTCTGGACTGGGTCAGACAAGACAAACAGTTCTATATATAGAGATTTGTGGGAATTTCCTTTACTTTTGTACAATTATTTGTATTTGTTACACGTTCCTCGCCTGGCAGTTAAGATCAAAGACCTTTTTCACACTCCTCTGGGCAGCGGTCTGATAATTGTTTTCATATTATATGGCTATTTTTTAAGCCAACGCCATATTGTCGCACTTTAGTTTTATTTGTCGCATAAATCTAAGGGCGCCCGTAGCATGCCACACACCACGCACACACCGCACTCGCCACACACACACACACACACACTCACATACACGCATATGGGTGTGTTTGCAATTTATTCTGGTAAAAACTCAGCACGCAATGGCAACGCCAACAACAATATTTGGACCTGCGGCGACGGCTGGCACACGGAACGAGGACCAGAACCAGTAGAAGGAGCAGCAGCAGAAAGGGGACAAAGCCCAGACCGTGTGGCAGGACCTCATAGTGGCCAGGACAAGGCAAGCTGCAATAATAAGTCGAGCGCTGGAGCTTGGGGCAAGGGGCGAACATGGAACATGGCTCAAGTATATTTCGAGCATTTTCCTATGACTAAGCAGTTTTGGGTTTCCTTTTTTCTTTTTTGATCACATTTTTGCTGCTCGTTTGCTACCTTTTGTTCAGCCAAAAAGAATACGAGGAACGAGGCAGGAAAAAAAAGATGGAAAACATTACGAAAATCCTAGCGAAAAGGTGAAAAAGCGTCTAAGGCAGCAGCCGAGCTGCCTGCAAGCGACCAAATGCCACCGACAAAAATAACAACAACAACAATTCTTGGGAGCATTTTAAGTGGCAACAAATGGAGGGGGGGGGAGGCTTTTCAAGCTGCGCATCTAGTCAACACAGCTGGGGGTGCCTTTTAATATGCTGTGGTATGTTCTTCCCTTATTTTATTTATTTTGTTTCTCTTTTTTTGCTGGAAGAGGGAAAGGGAAAGGGAAAGAGGGAGGTAAGCGCACTTTGCAGCTGCTGCGGAGCAAGCGCTAAGCTGGGCCAGGGGCTTGCGGGCTGGATATTTGGAAGTGGGCTGCCAGCAGCCACTTGATCTATATGCAAAGCCTGTGTGCTTGTGTGAATTATGCACATGTTGGGCCTTGAGTCGCAAATTCTGACTTGCCATTAAGTGTTGCTCAAAAATGTTCATAAACATTTGCAGCCATGAATTATGAGCAGCAGCAGCAGAAACCAATCCAAGTGCTTTTTCTCTGGTTATTCAATTCAGCTGAATTGAAATCAAATATTCTTTTAATATGGCCGCACATTAATCTTACAGACTTAAGGACTTTTGGTGCATTTATCAAATTATCTGTAGCGAACATATATTTTAACTAAGACAGAGAAATCAATTTTGGAAAACTCATGAATGACAATCAGATTGAAAAAGGATGTCAATGAAATTAGAGTTTAAATATTTGCTTGAGACCAAAAGAAATGGAGCTCAGTATATCTCTCAGCTCTGATATCCCGGAGCTTTGTTATTAAGCTCTCTCCCGCTGTGCCCGGAGTTGGTGTTTCCCTTTTAACATTTACAATTCATTAGCAAGGCCATCTCTGAAGGGGTTAACTGGAGCTGGAGGGAGCAGCCATAAATGTCTTGTAGTTTGCTGCGTGGCCACTCAAAGCTCATAAAAATCACATTTAATATTTTTTTATTATTTTTTCTTCGCCTACGAACTGGTGTTGCAGGAGCACTGGGGGGTCCCTGGACATGCAGGTCCTTATGGGGGCAATTGCTTTTTATATTGTAAAATCGATAAGCGATCACATTATAAGTATGTGCATGCGAGACGTGCGAGAGCGAGACAAGAAACTCAGCAGGAAGCACCAAAGTGAGTTATATGTATGTTTGTCCTTTAAAGTGCACTTAACCATAAATTCACGCACACACACACGCACAGAAAAGGGAACAGGACATATGCAGCGCCTCGCGCCTTGCGTGCTCATTAATTATAAAACAACGCGCTTTACTTTTATTTCTGGAACCGTCGAGCACCAGATACAGATACGACAACGACGAGGACGAGAACGAGGACCCACAGCAATGGAATAACAGTAGCTGTAACTGGTTACAGTAATGTTTTCTCAGCTCAAACATGCCCTCAACGACGCAGCGCAGCATATCGTGCATTAAAAATCGTAGCCATATGTAAAGCCAAAGATAACAAACGGAGCAGGAGGGCCGCTTGGGGAGCAGGAGTTGCCAACTGTCGCGATTTCCACTGTTGCCAGCCTTTAAGTCGTTTTCGAAACAGCACACAGCAGCCGTCCAATGCGGCGTATGAGTAATGGCTGCCGCAGCATAGAGCCAAGCCAAGCCAAGCCAAAGGGGAGAGCACAGCTCGACACATTTTGACCGCAGCAGAGGCAGCCTTTGCGTAATGTAAATTTCAATTGGTAAGAAGCAGCAGGTAAGCACGGGGAATCCCCGCTAGACTTAGTCCTAGTCTAGAGGGGAACATAAATGTCAAAGAGGTGCCAGCACATTGCGATATAAAATTCCAAATAGATACGGGCTGTATTCCTGGTTAGAACAAATATTTGTATGTAAATATTTTGCATAGGTTTTGATTAAGGAGCAGACAATCGTCATGGATTATTTGGCACGGTGGGGCAAAGCCAATAAATACAAATACAAAAAATATTGCTGCAAACATTTAATTTCGAATTATTTGTGGAAGCGCGATTATATTAAGGAAATTTAAAGCAAACAGTTTATTTGATTATGCTTTTTTGAACGTGATTTCCAGTTGTCGTTTCGCTGTGCTGTTGCTTGTGACAGTGGGGCAAAAGCAATGAAGAGAAAAGTATTTGAGCAAACATTTCATTTCGTATTATTTGTAAAGGCGCGAGGAAATTAGGTAAATTAAAAGTAAACAGTTTATTTGGTTATTCTCTTTTGAGCGTGATTTGCAGTTGTCGTTCCACTGTGCTGCTGTTTGTGTCCACTGTGGAAACGGGCCCAGGGAAAGCACGAAGTAAACGCACTAAAGCATTTTTTATGGCTCACTTGCAGCAGCAGCAGCAGCAGCAGCTTCGGCCATAACCAAGATGATGTGAAGGGGAGTGGGAAATTTGGAGGACGAACAGAATGATGAGGATGCGGCTGCTGCTGCTGCTGGCACAGTTGTTGATGATGATTCGCCAGCTTTGCCCCTTTTCGGTTCGATTTGCCATGCCCGCCCACAGCTCTTTGGGGACACTGGGGACTGGGATCTGGGTACTGTGGACTGGGACCTGGGTACTGTGGACTGACAGCCCTTTTCTCTTTTTTTTTTTGCTGTTGTTCAACGAGTCGAATGTCGCCCAATTGGCAGCGCCGAGGACATTGTTTAATATGCAAAACCATTTCCGCAACATTCCGATGCGTCTGAGCCGTTGTTCTTAGGGGTTGTTAGAGAGCACAAGGGATTGCCAAAGGCTGCCAAATCAGCATGAAATGTGCTCAAAGTGGGCGTCAAGTGGGCAGCCAGCTAAACATAATGATCATAATGCTGATCATGATGATGATGATGATGGTGATGAGCTGGAGCTGCCCCGAGGCACTCGCTGCTTACCGCAGCGGCTGCTGCACATATTGATAGCTGTTTGATTTTTTATGAGTTTATAAATTTGTGATTAGCTGCCGGCTAACGCCGGGCGCCTGGCGGCTGCTGTGGTTTCTGATTGAGTTGTGGCTGCGTGGCGCAAATTCCAATAAAATTCTAAGCCAAAGCACTTTGCATATGCATGTAAATATAATGCAAAGTTTTGCGAGTTTTCCGAGTTTCCCAAGTGCTCTTGACAAAAGGCAACGGTGGTACTCGCTACCCGCCGGCAGATGGCTCTTTGTCTTAACCCATTGTTTTTACTCAACTAAATCGCACGACATGAAAACATAATTTTACTTCAAATTGCAATGACAGTTGCAGCAGCCACGCCCATACACTTGCAATTGCATGGCAGCGCATTTATCTACACACACACACACAAACATACACGCACACCCTTCGTGGTGGGGCGTCGCATTCACATGCGAGTGCGCCTGAATGTATGCAGCTCCGTTGGCTTTTGTTATTGCGACTGCGACTGCGAAGAGGACGACTGCAAATTCCATTTCAATTGTTTGCTTAGATTATGCAGTTGTATTAAGTAAAAAAGCGAACAGAATGGAACCAGGGCTGCAACAGCAAAAACAGAAAAGTGAAAAGGCTTTAAAGCAAAGGGAGGCTGCGACTGAGGCTGAGGCCAAGGCAGCGCAGGGCGTTCTTATAAGGATTCACACAACAGCCGCAGCTGAGAATGAATTTCATTATGCTCGAAGGCGACAAGTTGCAAGGTCTCAGCTGTGTTGAAAGTCCTGTGGCTGCCTTGATAAGAGTGCGGTTTAAGGTAAAAACAATTAAGATATTGCTTTGACCAGATTCTCACCTGTTTCTGCAATTTAAGCCCAACACAAAAGTACTCAAAAATTTGCCCACTACAATCTGTTGCAATCTCAATTTCTATATAAAATCTGTTGTTCCTTTCGACTTCTGTCAGCGTTTTGTCGCCTTTCGTCTCCTATTTTCTCTCGCCTTGGCAATTCTGTTGCACATCTTTTGCCCCGCCCCAAAACTGAAGCCCACTTGAAGCTGTCATTCAACAACATTGTGCACTGCCGTAGATATTCTGAACCATTAGCATTTTAATGAAATTCTTGTTGTTTTTTCACACATTCATTCAACTGTTCTTCTCCTCCTGACTTATTGCATTGCATTTTCTACTGAGCAGTTTTTTTTTATTAATATGAGGCACTCTAGACTCTGAAACTTACCCACAACGGTCATTGTCTCCGACTCGGAGACGGTGTTAAAGGCGGGCGCCTCGCCGGACACCTCGCAACGGTACAGGCCGGAAGTTTGGAGCGTTACGCGTCGCAGCATTACCTGCGTGTCCGAGGAGTTCCTCAGCTGTTCGTGGAAGAGAGAGAGAGAGTGGAGAAAACGGCGAAGAATGTTAGTTAAATATTTTGCAAGTCGAAATCAAAATAAATTACTGTGCCGTGACTCGACAGTAGGTCGCCCCAAGCCTCAAAATGAAGGCAATTAGATTTACAGATTTACAGATTTTCACAATTTCAGATTTTGCTTTTTGCGGTTGGGCTGCCTTTTTTGACTCAAAAATTAAGATTGATGATGATTTGTTGAGCAAACGGAGAAGAAGACGGACTAGAAGCCGTCGCTCAGTGTATATATTATTAGTTTAAGGTTTACCAGCCTTCAGACAGGCACTGGGCGTGGTCAAAATGTAATTTGGTCAAGAGCCCCACAGAGCTGCAGAACAAAAAGCACAAGTCATAAGCTAGAGCCAGAGCCAAAAGCAAGCAATGAAATATCTGGAAACAATCGTAACATTCCGCACACACCAACTGCATGAATATGTACGCAACTGTGTAACCAGTGCAGAAAGCATGAGAATGTAAGTGGGAAAAGCATGTGTGGGAGATGTGAAGGAGCTGGAGATGGCGATTGAGATGGAGCGGTGGCTGTTGTAAAAGTCGCTCAACATCTTTGCCAGAAACAATTGCAGTCAAGTTCTTTAAGTTGCAGTTTTATTATCACACACACAGGGACACACAGACACACACAGATACCCACACACACGGACACGCAGCTGAAAGTGGTTGCTAAAGTTTTCATTTCTTTCCATTTTCCTTGACGGCGCTACCCGAAAAACTTGTCGAGCAAATTTTTATGAAAATTCCATGCTCCCCTCCGGCCCCCCTCTTTATCATCGCCACAGCAAGCTCTTCTCTGCGCTTCTCACTGCTGCAAACAATCACAAAAGTCACGTTCAACATTATTTTTGGTTTGTTGCTTGTTGCCCGCAGCCCCCCGCAACCCGACTTACTTCCATTACCCCGTTACAATGACTGCGAACTGGCTTTGTTTGTTTCTTTCTAGTGCTTAAGCCGATTCCTTCCTGCACAGAGTGAGCGGGAATAGGGGGCAGGGCGACTCTGGCTTGCCAATTTCTATGAACGCTCAAGTTGTCAGCGCCCGCTGCACAAACAGTCGAGCATGGAAACGGGAGAGACCGGCAGGCCTCTCCAGCCCAAAAGCCCGGCCACAATTCAAATTGTAGTCGCCTTTTAGTGCTAAGGGACGGACAAGGAACGACTGAGGGGGGTGTACTGCTTCGCTTTATTGCATATCCCTTGGTACGTGCGGGCGCCATTTTGTTTATGATGGCTGCAACAAAATGCAATTCACACAATTTATTGTGATTCCCAACCCGTTCTGGCAGTTAACAGCTGTCAGCTAAGCGAAACGCTCAACAGCTAGGAATTTCTACGAAACATTTTTGCGCTAATGTGAAGTACCTGTTGGAAGCCGAATTAAATGAGGTGTAGCGTTCTCGTTCTCGTTCTTAACTAAAGTTGAATCCTACGGCAAAAATTCAAGTATTATGTAAAGACTTTAATAACAAGCTTTAATATGGCTTAGTATTAAATTCATTCAATAATTAAACGCGCAGCTTTCTGGAGAACCCTTAGAAAGTCGAAAGCCAGATATACGCATATATGCCTGCATTTATTTATTTTCTTTTTATTATGCATGCACTTTAATAAGCCACAAAATGCCAGCAATTATGCTTAACAACCGGCCACAATCTATGTCACCTCGGGACGCCCCACCTTTCGGCTGTAACTGGCCTTTGTTCCGATCACGCATACGACCATAAATATCTGCTACATGAACACAACTCTTTCATGTCTAAATGTAGACATTCACGCCTACACTTTACGTTACGCACAGTCAGCCGGATAGGGGGGGCGCGTCGCAAGGACGAGCTGTGGCCCGGGCACGCACAAGCTATAAAAGTCGCGCTCGCGTTGCTCATACGCCGCGTTGGCCGTACGTCAATTGCCTTGGCTTTGCTTTATTTGCCATTCGCTTTTGCCTTCGCAATTTTTGTGCTGATGCAGACTTCGACATGGACGTGGACGTGGTGGACGTGGACGCGGCTGTCAACAAATGCCACACAAAGTAGACGCACTTAAGTGCTTTAGCAAATTATTATTATTATTATTATTAGAGTTCGGCTCAGGCAAAGTGGGTTCAGGCGTAGGATTGGCAGCTGTAAGTGATTTTGGCTGTGCAACCTTTTCAATCGCAATTGAAATTGACTGACGTGTACAATGTACGTTAAACAGCAGAGTCGAAGGGCCAAACCGCAACGTGACCCAACTTAAGCAGCGAGAAAGAGTGGGAAAGCATTTTTATGGCTAACAAAAAATTACATCAACATTAAATTAAAGTTAAATGGCAAAACTACGTGGCAGCAATTCCATTTTGCGACGACGTGAAAATAACAACAACGTGGCCAACTGCAACAAGATGTTGAACGCGGCGAGTTCGCTCTCATGGCAATTACATGCTCTTGAAAATAATCATTATGATAAGGCCGTAACACTAAATTTTCCGCAGCATACACTTTCCCCCACACCGCTTTTAACTGCTCGGTAAATTGCAATAAAATTTTAAATTAAATTTTTCGGTCTGCACCTGTTGCTGATTGGGCAATACTCACATCGATGTTGACGCCGGGCAGTGGAAATGCCTGGCCCGGTGGCTTGTCGCGCGGCACATAGCGATAGATCTCGTGCCCATCCTTGTACCATTTAACCGAGTACAGGGACTCGCCGTCCAGGGAATAGCGGCAGCCGAGCAGGGCGCTCTTCAGGCGCATTATGTGATTGGGTATCTTCACCTCGGTCATTGTCAGCGAGCTGGTTATATCTGCAATTAGTGGATAGAGCGAGAAAAAGAAGCAAACGTGAGCATTAGAGCAACAGCAATTTTTTAATGCCAGCCATTTAGTTTTAGCTGCGAACTTTCAATTGTTTTCTATTTTTTTTTCCTCTCTCTCTCTCTCTCTCTCTCTCTTTTTTCAACTGCCAGCTGCATTGTCTGGCCATAAACCCATCTCGGTGGCCCATCTCTATTTATCTGGGCCCCAACCCAGCGCAGGGTAACTAAGTTCACTTTTATGGTCTAATTTTTTTTTTTTGTGGCAAGCGTTAACTTTTACTGCCAGCCATGTTAGCTGCATGCATTAGCTTTCCCAGAAGGTGGCACACATTTCTTTTTTAGCCCAGTTCAGGTTTTTGTACAGAGGAGGGGCTGGGGGTCCATAGTTATTTGCACATTTCAAATGCTATAATCATGAGGATTTATTAAAAAGCTTACGAGCGTGTAAGCGAGCCACACTCGAATCTACGTATATGAATAAGGTTTAACTATGCATGCAATTTTCAAGAAGCTAACACATCAATTTAAGAATCAAAATTCTTCTAAAATTCTATGCATTTTAAAAGCTCATTCCCCCCCACCTCTCTCATTTATGATTTCTCAGTAAAAAATATTGTCTTGTGATTTTGTAGGACAGTATTTTTGTGATCTTTGAATGGCCAGTCTAGAAAATCGATTTCTGACGGCATGCATATAAATACGATTGCCAGTTATGGACTAGCTACAAAAAAAAGCAAAAAAAAAAAAATACTGCTAGCCGTTCGCCATATTTTGCATGTAAAATAGAAAGTGCAGTCAAGCGGCATGGACAAAAAAAAATACCCTGCCGGCTGTCACATGAATTATGCCTGGACGACTCCTGTAGCACCTGCAGCTCCTGCCAGTGCAGCTCCTGCAGCTCGAAGCTTCGATATTACAAATCGTCTGACCGCACAAAAAAATGGCCCAGAGACGAGTGCCCGTTGACTGGACGTCACTGCAGTCTACAATTCACACGGCACAGACTAGACCAGATGTACATGTGCCCCGCCTCCATCTACGCCTCTGGCTGGCCGTGACGGCTAAATAGCCAGACCAATTCGAAAAAAATGGCATAATAAAACCAACGGCAAAGCGTTTAAATCACACAAAAATTCTCATATTTGCTTTTACGACATTTTGGCGCGTTGAAGTTTCACGTTTTATGATTGCACGGCAATTGCAGCAGCAGTTGACCAGAAAACAGAAGCCAAGAGTTGGCAATTGGTTGGCAGTTGCCGTTTGCCAGTTGCCAGTTGCCAGTTGGCAGTTGGCATTGCCATGACATGGACACACCTACTTATTTAATATACCGCGCGATACTTTTCATTTGCCAAAGCTCCGTCTGCATGTGTGTGCGTGTGTGTGTCAAAGGTGAAAAAGCGAATGAGCGAAAGTTGAAAAGGCGCACAAAAAACAAACACACACACACACATTTGTTGCCTGAGTGTGTGTGTGTAACGTATACGCCGCGTGCGGCAAAGCGCCAACCGTTGAATTTATCACATTCACATGCAAATTGCGCCAAACGACCTTATTATGCAAATTGCCAACTGCAAATGGAGAACGAAATTGATTTTCCTGCATTTCTACAACAACACCAGGAGCAGGAACAGGAACAGGAGCAACGACATGCGAAGGAGTTGCGACATGTGCCTTCATATGCCGATGGCCCCAAGCTGCCTGCCTGCCTCCATTTCCAAACCCTTTACCTTCTCCTTTAGCCAGAGCTTGCCGTATTCTGCAACAGTTTTGCAACCGCAGAGCGGTAGCTCCGGCGACGACTACACCTTGCTCCAACGGCGACAAATGGCGAATATATTGAGCTGTCACACGCCCAACCCCAGAACCAGGATGGGTTTATACACACACACCTTTAATATTGAACAATGCGCACACAAGCTCAACTCATCAGATACCCAAGCATACACATGCACATATACAGGTACTGCGAATCGGAATCTGAATCGGAATCGCAGTCGCGACTTGTATAAAAAAGCAAAGTTGCCAGGCAGACAATTGCCACAAAAAAGGTGGCAACCGCAAAATGAGTTAGTTGTTTGCCAGTCAGCAGCCATTTTGCTGCCTGTGTGCGTGTGTGTCTCTCCCTGGCTGTGTGTGTGTGTGTGCGTGTGTGTGTGCATTTGCTTTTGGCCAACAATTTATGGCTGGCATCATAAAAAATAACAGCAAAATATATAAGAAAGGATAAACAGAACAGAAAGTCGTGCATTATAAATTCATTTCCGTTTATATTATGCGAGCTGCTCGTTTGCTTTGATTTCATGATTCGCTTTTGTTGGAGACAACAAAAACGGGCTTAAGATAGGCAATAAAATGTGCTAATAAGCAGAGGAATTGTGTCAAGGAACAAACTATTTCCTATTTAGATTCCTTTCATGTTTGGGATATTTATTGGCATATTAATAGTCTTTGACACAAAATAACTATAATTTTACAAATATTTAAACAGCCAAAGATAACAAGTGAGAGGTTCTAGTCGGGAGCTCCCAACTAGGGGATACCCTGAACCCTCTTCTTGCAACATCAAATGCATATATATATTCTATCTTAGAAGCTATATGTCAAGTTTGGTGACTCTAGCTTTAATTATTTACCAAAATTGCCCAAGAAACATGATATCGATATCGATTTTTATCGATTGCTTGGAAACGGAGTAAGTTATCGATTATCGGAAACAAACTCCATCTGCGCGGGAACTAGGAGCACCTACATCTATTTCAAGTCTCTAGCTCTTATAGGTTCTGAGATCCTTGCGTTCATACATACGGACATACAGACGGACATGGCTAGATCGACTCGGCTATTGGTGCTGATCAAGAATGTATATACTTTATGGGGTCGGAGATGCTTCCTTCTGCCTGTTACATACATTTGGATTTTGCACAAATACAATATACCCTTATACCCACTTTTAATGGGTTAAAGGTATAAAAATAATAATTAAATAGGGTTGAGGTTGAGGAATTCTCATTAAACCAACTTTATAAAAAAAAATAAAACGTTTCGTTCTAATAATGTTTAAAAAGCCACACTTACTAAAGCACAAATAATTAATAATAATAAACTTCCAATTAAAGACATAATCAATTATATATAAAATAATCATTTACATACATATCTCTCCATCAATTTTGATCGAAATATTGGCCCTGTTAGGCTTTTCTTAATTTAATTTATTTAAGCCCAGTTGAATATGCCAAGCTCTTGCTAAGAATAAGCAGTAAAATTAAAGGCATTTTATTTAAATTATAAGTTTCCATTTATCCAGTTTTCTGTTAACAACTGTTCAGCTCAAAGCAACTTGTGTTTTCTTTGGCAAGTTTCTTTTCAACTGAACTGGCGACATCTGCAACACGCCCACCACCCGCCGCCCACCGCCCACCGTTCAACTAAATGCGCCCTAATTGCAGTTACTGACATTTGACTTTATAAATTGGCCAGGCTGTGTTTTTGCTTCTTCAGTTGCGTATTTGCTCGCTTCGCTTTTGAGTGCAAGGCTGGTTGCGTAAATGGCGTGTGTCCTTCTGCTGTTATCCTGCCCACGCCTCCTGCGCTGCCTCGAGTATGGCTCAGCAAAATGCTTGAAGTCAACAACAACAAAAGCAACAACAACAACAACTGACTGCACATTAAAAATTAAAAAAGCCAACTCCGGCACAAGGATGACGACCAAAGAAGCAGCCAGTGGCAAAGCCAAAGCCAAAGCCAAAGCTAACGAAAAAGTTGAAACGTCAACAACAACAAGGGAAACACGAAGAAGCAGCAAAGTAATTTCATGCATCGTTTAATTTTCATTCGGGCTTAATTTGTGCAACGCCCCCCAACTGCTACACTTGACAACCCAACGATCACAGGACACCAGACACCAGACACCAGCTCCCATGTCATATGATGGCAGCAGTTGCCATTGTTATGCTTCTTCTTCTTCTTCTTGTTGTTGTTGTTCAAATGTTGTAATACCCCATTTAGACCTAATACGCGTCAGCCACTTCCAGCAGCAACTCACAATTGAAACGGCAAATAAAATAAATGCCAACAGTCGCGAACTAAACAAAAGTCAAACACACCCCACTCACACACAACCCCACACACACCCGAAACTGACGCCTCGAATTTTGAGACAAATTAAATTAAATGAAGCGCACCCAAAAAATGCTCATCCTTCGCCTGGTGTCGTGCAACCCTTTTGCAGCGTTTCCACTTACCAGCGTTAGGTTATATTTTGAGCTGTCATCAAGAATATTTCTTCTAATATATTTCTAATGATTATATTTTTCCTCGAGTTTCATGTTTATATATTTAACTACAAAAGTTTATCTATAAATTTCTTATCTATTTCCCGGCCATTAATACTGCCTTAAGATCCAGTTTCCACCTGTAGAGGTGAATTTTTCGGAACCGGTGGAGCCAGTGAATTAAATTCAACAATTTTCCACCTTTGCAGCACAAAGTTTCCCAAGTAAAAAGTACAGCCAAAGCTTTCTATTTGGGCAATAAATCCGCCAGTTAACCCTTTTGAAAACATTTGATATATCAGCTATATTTATTTAGTTTATTATAAGGTTATCCACATTTTTATTTAGTTATTCATACTTTTCTTACAGTGGAAACACTGCAAAAGCACTCGCATTTTACGAACGACATTCTTACACGTCTTTTACTGCTTTTCCTCTAAATTCTTTTGGAAATTTAAGGAAGTCAATTTTAAGGGTGGCGTGAGGGAGGGGGGCGGGGCTGCCGTCTTAGTGCTTCTTGACACCCTTTTGCCTTGTAATTGAAATTTTTATAGTTGTCGCGCTTCGTCTGGCTTGGGGCGAAACTTTTATCAGCGCCTCGCGCACTCTTAAAAATAATTTTTAGTGTCACACCCCCTCCATGCCAGCGACATCTCTCCGGCAACAAATTAATCCCTTTATTTGCATAATTGAAAAACATCAGCGGAAGCT